ACTTCCACTCTACATTGCACTGGTCAGACTGCATCTGGAATGCTGTGCCCAGTTTTGGTTGCTAGAACACAAGTATGATGCTGAGGAACTGGAAAGAGTGAAGAGAAGACCAACAAAGATGGTGAGGGGTTTGCAGGCCAAATCCTACACAGAATGGTTAAAAGAACTGAGCACGTTTAGCCTAAAGAAGAGAAGCCTAAGCAGACACATGATAGCAGTCTTCCAGGGAAGGGGTGTCATAGGGAAGAGGGTGTGGATTTATTCTCCATAGTGCCAGAGGGCAGGATAAGAAAAATGGGTGGAAATTTGCAGATAGAGATCCACATTCAAAATAAGGAGTCAGTAAGGAGTCATTTCCTGATCATGATTGCTATTAAGCAGTGTGGAATAGTCATCACTGATGATTTTCAAATAAAGATTGGACAGCCATTTGTGATGGTCAAGGATTTCTGCTTTCAGCAGGAGGTAGGTCTAGGAGACCTCCAAAGTCCTTTCCAACCCTATTACAGCTTACAGAGACCTGTGAACTCAGTCTAAAAGTTGTGTTCAAACAATATGCTTACCTATGGTAAACTGAACCACAGTTACCCAATTAACCTAATCTTCTGGATTTGCAGAACAGACTGAACCATAAACTAACCACATAGACTGAATTCACCGAACAAATTAGGTTAAAATGGGGTTCATCAGTTATTCTGTGTGACATGCAAATAGTCATTCTATATTTTATTTCTCTTACTAAAAATAAAAATCCCAGTGTCTTTCAGTCGAAACAGCACTAGATGGTGCTATATCACATATTCTTCCAAACTGCTAGAGACTGCAGCCAATTGTTCGCTTAATTAGATTTAAACAACATACAGTATTACATATATTTCTTTTGACCCTGACTTGGTCACCCACTCTCTCACTCTTTATGCTCCTTTCATGGTTACCACCAAGGATGTGCAAACCTACAGTTCCAGGAGTGGAACATTCTGGAGACCTCCAGCATCTTCTGTACTTCCTCCGGTCCCCACCAGACCAATCCAACTCTTCCAGAAGTTCACAGATTAACTTTCCAGAAAAATATTGAACCATCCCCAGAGAGCTGCACTGTATTAGGAGTTTGTGCACATATCTACAGCTTTTAGCTACATAGGCTTGGAAGCTGTGGAGACATTGGCTGCATATCCAGCTTGCGCACTTAGTTCAGTGTTTCTCAACCTCAGCAACTTTAAGATGTGTGGAAGTCCCAGAATTCCCCAGCCAGCATGAAAATCTAATATAATGCTGTTTGGGTAAGTGAAAAAAGAAAAACTCCTCTAAGCGGTTTTTGTAAATATGCAGAAGGCCTCTTTTGTCAATTACTTTAAATCAAAGACTGATGAAGTAAATAACCTCCTTGATTTCACTTGACTCTCCTTCCTTCCAAACAGTGAAACTCTGTTGATAGCACTGCACAACCTGCTTCTCTTATATCTCCTGCTTGTTCCCCCACACTCAACTCCATCCCAAGAGACCCATGACAAGAGAGCTTCTATAGGACCCATCACATCACACCCATTTGCAGCATGTACAGGACACTTAGCCAGCTTGGGAACATTTTCCTTCTTTTATGCCCTCCCCTAGAAGCCCCTCCCCCCCCACTGGAATGGATGCACCCAACTTGTGCATCTGCCTCCTTCCATAACTGTCAGTAGGATCTCCTGCAGTGTCTGCGTGGAAGTCCTCTTTGCTCTTCCCTGCTGAGAGGCTACCCCATCCTATCTGGGATATTTAGCAGGCATGGTTAGCATGTGAAGGGAACCAAGGCTTAGAATTAAAGACTAAGCTGCCTCTTACACACTCTCAGTTTAGTTTTAGAAATAAGCCATGGATTAATTATAATTTTTTTGACCAGACCATAGATGTATTCACACATTCTAAGGCTAAAATAGAAGCGCCAGTTTGCTGTAGTGGTTAAGACAGCAGGCTAGAAATTGGGGAAAGGTGAGTTCTACTCCCACCTTGCACACAAAGCCAGCTGGGTGACCTTGGGCCAGTCACTCTCTCTCAGCCCCAGGAAGGAGGCAAGGGCAAAGCACTTCTGAAAAATCTTGCCAAGAAAACTGCAGGGACTTGTTCATTAGTTGCCAAGAGTAAAGACTGACTCAAAGGGGTGTGTACATGCACACGCGCACACACATGCCTAACTAAATAAACCACATTGGTGTTTTCTGCACAATATACTAAGTCATGGTTAACTAAATGTTTTACTGAATTAAACCAATTGTCTGGATTCATATGAACACACTGAACCACAGATTAATCAACCTTTTAGTCTATTGTGCTGTACAAACTTTATTCTTGCTGCTTAGTGTGATATGTGACTCCAGTTACAAATTCACACCTGATATTCTACCAAGCACCCTTTGTTAGATCAGTCTTATTCAAGTGTATATATGACATAGTCAGGTACAAACCTCCAAGCATGCACAATGCTATTATTTATTTATTTAAACTATCTATGGAGCGACTCTGGGCAGCATACAAGGATTAAAACCATCATAACAATATAAACCCATGACCCGGTTAAAATAATAACCCCAAAACAGAAAGCCACATCAGCAAGAGACTCACCTAACCTCCTGGCCCAAACACCTGGGGGTACAGCCAGGTCTTCAGTGTCTTACAGAAGACTAACAGGGTCAGGGCTGTGTGGATCTCTGGGGAGATGTTGTTTCACAGGGCAGACACAGCCACAGAGAAGGCACCATCTGGGGTCCAACAAGTTGGCATTGTCTGATGGCAGAGACCTGGAGCATGCCCTCCCTGTTAGACCTGGTGGGGCAGGCAGAAAGAATTGGGGACAGGGGGTCCTGCAAATAGACTGGTCCTATGTTTTTCCATATTAGCCCCCACCCCATCCCCAGCACAGCTCTTTAACTAAGGTTTCAGGTTTACTGTATTTTAAAACTCAAAATGGCTGTTGTCTTGGATTATTTTAATCTGAATGCTATAAATTAGAGCATTTCAATAAATCAGTTGAATATAGTACTTGTTTTAGGTTCACACGATACAAGAATCCTGAAACCTCAGTAAAGAGTATTTGCAACAGGAATAAAATGTTATGAGCAAACTCACTCAGGGTTATGAGAGGTCAGCTTCAGAAACTAGCAATCAAGCCTTTTCGATGTAGCTCACTAGAGTTCTTGGGAATCAGAAACACTGAGGTATGTCAGGAATATTATTATTATGGTTGGTCACACAGTCAGCCAGATGTTTAGGCTGGATTTGGCATTTTTATCCACAATCAAGCCTTTTCGATGTAGCTCACTAGAGTTCTTGGGAATCAGAAACACTGAGGTATGTCAGGAATATTATTATTATGGTTGGTCACACAGTCAGCCAGATGTTTAGGCTGGATTTGGCATTTTTATCCACCTATCAAGTCCTTCCCAAGGACCTGGGTTAGGCAGATGTTGTTGTTCAATGGTGTTAAAGATATTGTTGCAGGATGTAAGCTGTTCCAAGTAAAGCTGCCTTTTGCAGTTGACTGATGGTGATTTTGTCAATGCTGATGGTGTTCAAGTGGTGCTCCAGATGTTTTGGGATTGCACCCAGGCCCCCTATTCTAATGGGACTTACCTTTGGGTTTTTTTGCACCGGTTGTTCTTTTTTTATTGGGAGGTTTTTTTATTTTTTATTTTT